GAAAAAAAGGAAGGAGGAAGGAGGAAGAGAGGGAGAAGGAAGTATTGGTGGGGGTCGAGGAGGAGGACGAAGAAGAGAGAGAGAGAGAGAAAAGAGAGGAGAGAGAGAGAGAGAGAAGAGAGAGTGAGAGAGAGAGAGAGAGAGAGAGAGAGAGAGAGAGAGAGAGAGAAGAGAGAGAGAGAGAGAGAGAGAGAGAGAGAGAGAGAGAATTCGTAATCCGTATTAATGAAGTGGTCTTTCGTCTGGTCTGGACACGCCATGCTCACTTACATGCGTTTTCTCCTGAGTGCTTCCTCCTTTTCTCTCTCTCTTTCTTCTTCCTCAGTTTCTCCCCCTTTTTTATTTCTGCCTGGTTGTTCTTTTTCTCTCTTCTTTTCCCTTTCTTTTCTTCCTATTTGTTCTTTCTCTCAATTTTTTTTCCTTTTCTTTCTTCAGGTCTGTGCTTCTTCTCTCTCTTTCTCTTATTTTCTTTTCTCTCTCTATGTTCCTCTTTCCTTTCTCTCTTTCTCTTTACTGTGTCGGTAATTGTCGTTTTCTTTTCTCTCTTTTCTCTAGTCGTCCCTTTTCTCTCTTGCTCTCTTGGTCATGTTTGTTTTCATCTTCGTTTTCTCTTCCCTTTTCTCTCTTCTCCCTCTTTCTCTGCACTCCTCTCTCCTCTTCGTTCTCTCTTCTTCTCTGCTTTTCCCCCTTCCCTCTTTTTCTGATTCTATTTTTCGATGTTTTCTCTGTCTCTGACAGACAGAGAGAGAGGCAGAGACAGACAGACAGACAGACAGACAGACACAGACACAGACACAGACACAGACACAGACACAGACACAGACACAGACAGACAGACAGACAGAGACAGAGACAAAGACAAACAGACAGAGACAGACAGAGACAGACAGACAGACAGACACAGACACAGACACAGACACAGACACAGACAGACAGACAGACAGAGACAGAGACAAAGACAAACAGACAGAGACAGACAGAGACAGACAGACAGACAGACACACACACACACACACAAACAAACAGACGAACCCACGAAGGAGCTGCTTCTTCCTCGCCCGCGATTAAGAGCCTTATTCAGATAACGAGGAGGGCTGGGAGGATAATAATGCGATTCGGCTTAATTACGGTCATGGCGGGAATGGGTAAAGGAGAGGGGGGGGGAGGGGGGAGGGGAGGCGAGGGGAGGGGAAGGGGAGGGAGGGGAAGGGGAGGGAGGGAAGGGGAGGGGAGGGAAGGGGAGGGGGGAGAGGAAGGGAAGGGGAGGGAGGGGAGGGGAGGGAAGGGGAGGGAGGGGAGGGGAGGGAGGAAGGAGGGAAGGTGAGGGAGGGAAGGGGAGGGAGGGGAGGGGAGGGAAGGGGAGGGAGGGGAGGGGAGGGAAGGGGAGGGAGGGGAGGGGAGGGAGGGAGGGAAGGAGGGGTACCATGGGGAGGGAGGGAGGAGGGAAGGTGAGGGAGGGAAGGGGAGGAAGGGAAGGAGGGGGTAGCAGAGGGAGTCGAAGAGGAGGGTAAGGGGGGAGGGTGGGTGTGGCGGAGGGGGGGGGTAGCAGGGGGAGTGGAGGAGGGGGGGGGAGGGAAGTGGTGTCAATTATCCTGGGATTTTCTTTTTTTCTTTTCTTTTCTTTCTTGGGAAGGTTATCGCTTTGAATGCGGTATGACGATGGAATAGGTAGGGATGGGTGTGTGTGTGTGTGTATGCATATATATATATATATATATATATATATATATATATATATATATATATTTATATATATATATATATATATATATATATATATATATATATAGAGAGAGAGAGAGAGAGAGTAGAGAGAGAGAGAGAGATAGAGAGAGAGAGAGAGAGAGAGAGAGAGAGAGAGAGAGAGACAGACAGACAGACAGACAGACAAACAGACAGAAAGACAGCCAGAGACAGACTCACACACACACACACACATACACACACACACACACACACACACACACACACACACACACACACACACACACACACACACACACACACACACACACACACACACACACACACACACACTTCCCCACCTGCCTTCACCATCCCTCCAGATAAACAAACAGAACAAAGATTCAAACAAACGAACGAACGAACGAACAGACAGACAAACAGACAGCCAGCCAGAGGGGTAATAGCCCAAACTCTTCATTTTTCTTCCTCCACCTTCCTGCTGTCTGGCGAGGGGACGAGTGAGGGGAAGGGAGAGGGGAGAGGGGAGAGGCAGGGAGAACGAGGGGACGAGTGAGGGGAAGGAGAGAGGGAGAGGGGAGGGGGAGTGAGAGGGGAGGGGAAGAGGGGAGAGGGAGAGGAAGGCAGGAGAACGAGGGGAGGAGTGAGGGGCGAAGTGGAGAGTGGGGGGGTGGGAGGAGAAGAGGAGGTGAAAGGAGAGGGGAGGTTTGAAGAGGGATATAAAGAAGGGAATAGGGCGGGGGATAGGGGAGGGGAGAGGGGAAGAGGGGAGAGGGGAGAGGGGAGAGGGGAGAGGGGAGAGGGGAGAGGGGAGAGGGGAGAGGGGAGAGGGGAGAGGGGAGAGGGGAGAGGGGAGAGGGGAGAGGGGAGAGGGGAGAGGGGAGAGGGGAGAGGGGAGAGGGGAGAGGGGGAGAGGCAGGGAGGGGAGAAGGAGAAGGGAGATGGGAGGGGGAGTGAGAGGGGAGGGGAAGAGGGGAGAGGGGGAGAGGAAAGGAGAACGAGGGGAGGAGTGAGGGGAGGGTGAGGGGATGAGAAGAAGGAGGGTATGAAGAGGGGAGGTAAAGAGGGAGAAGGAAGGGGAAGGGAAGAGGGGAGAGGGGAGAGGGGAGAGGGGAGAGGGGAGAGGGGAGAGGGGAGAGGGGAGAGGGGAGAGGGGAGAGGGGAGAGGGGAGAGGGGAGAGGGGAGAGGGGAGAGGGGAGAGGGGAGAGGGGAGAGGGGAGAGGGGAGAGGGGAGAGGGGAGAGGGGAGAGGGGAGAGGGGAGAGGGGAGAGGGGAGAGGGGAGAGGGGAGAGGGGAGAGGGGAGAGGGGAGAGGGGAGAGGGGAGAGGGGAGAGGGGAGAGGGGAGAGGGGAGAGGGGAGAGGGGAGAGGGGAGAGGGGAGAGGGGAGAGGGGAGAGGGGAGAGGGGAGAGGGGAGAGGGGAGAGGGGAGAGGGGAGAGGGGAGAGGGGAGAGGGGAGAGGGGAGAGGGGAGAGGGGAGAGGGGAGAGGGGAGAGGGGAGAGGGGAGAGGGGAGAGGGGAGAGGGGAGAGGGGAGAGGGGAGAGGGGAGAGGGGAGAGGGGAGAGGGGAGAGGGGAGAGGGGAGAGGGGAAGAGGGAGAAGGAAGGAAAGGGAGAGAATACAAAAGAAAAGAGAGGAAGAGGGAAACACGAAGATGAAGATAAAAGATAGTTAAAGAGAGACAAGTGAAAGAAAACAAGGAGACATTTAAGAGCGAAAGAACGTTACGAAGATGGAGAAGAAGAGGAAAAAAGAAAGTGATCAGAAGGGAGAGAAGGAGGAAACAGAAGGATGAAAAAAGGGGGGGAAAGTGGGAAGAGCTAAGGCCTAGAAAGAAGAAAGACGAAGAGGAGACGAAAAAGAGAGAAAAGAATACAAGTAAATACAAACAAAACATCGCATCTATCAAGATTTATAGCATGCAGGTCAAAGGATACACATAAGAATGGTACACATGAAACACACGCACACACACACACACACACACACACACACATACACACCTCCACACCTACCCTTACCCCTCCCCCCTTACACACAACACACGAAAAAAAACCTTCCACATACAAACACTTTAACCCCCTTCTCCTCCTCCTCCCCCTCCCCCCCACATACAACACCTTACACCCCCATCCCCCACCCACCCCTACCCCACCACCCCCACCCCCACCCCCCAACAACACACAGTAGTAGGTCCGAACTCAACTGAGGAGACAAAAACTTTACAATAAGCATTTCATCATGGGGTTGAGATGGGTACACAACCTGAGACCAATATTAATCATGGGGATCGTGAGTGGGGGGGAGGGGAAGGGAAGTGGGGGAGGGGAGGAGCGAGGAGCGAGAGGGAAGTGGGAGAGAGAGATGAGGGAAGGAGAGAAGGGGGCGAGGGGAGGGGGCGAGGGGTTTAGGG